AGATGTTAGTCTTCTATTCAGCACACCCACACCCGTCGAAATTAGTGGGCTCCTATGGACACCCGATAGTAGCAGCTCTGATCGCGAAAGGGTGTGGGTGCGGTTGAAGAGATGGCACAAATCCACACCCATACCCAGATTTGTTATTAAATAATTCTCTACATTGAGAGTAAAAATTCGACTTGATTGTTATATTCATTCTAAAAAAATATTTTATTGATCTGTGCTTCAATCTAAGAACATTATTATATGAGATGAGAAAGATTGATGGATAATAATCAAAATCTGGGCAACAACATGAGGTCATGTGTTAAATCTAAACTTTTACAATATTTCTGTCAACATTTATTTATTAATATGTCAGGTGTATATACAAAAAATAAAATGAATATTTTTGTAAAAGTTTTGTCCGTTGTAAATAAATATTATCAACTACACATTTCATTGTAAATTGAATAAGTAGCTGTTCATAGTTAATCATTTGTTGTAAATTCTCAATCATTTATTCATCAGCTACTGGTACTTGAAAATATAATGAACGAAGATAAGAATTGCCAGTATCATTAATTTTGTTCAGAATAGCTCGTAAAAAACAATTTAATACCCATATTATTTACAAGTTTCGCTTTTAAATAATATATCATATAAGGATAAATTTTCCAAATTAAGTAAAAATCTTTCATATCATTAATTTCCTCAATATTAACTTTAGTAACTTGATTTCGATTTCTTCTTAAACAAAGACTAAGAAGTTCTATATTTACTAAGTGTCTTGTTTCATCCAATGATAACAAAATGAAGTTTGAACGTAATTAAATCTGGTAATAAATTTATCAAATGAATTGACACACGAACTGATGAATGTTTTTCAATAATAATTAAATGATAAATTCGTGTAATAGTTAAAACACATTTGGTTTTTTCTAATAACATTTCAACATAAAAGAGTAAGAAAAATTTGTCAATAGCAAAGTAGGTGATGTTGAATATTCAATATTCTTATCTTCAAACTAATCATACCATCTCAGGTCGATGAAAATAGGATACGAATACTGTCCATTTTTCATCTGCAAGCAATGAAAAAACGACTACTTTACGGCCGTCTATTGTCCGTAGTTTCTCGTAATACTTGACACAGTAATACGACATCACCATTTAGCCTTATGCAGTCGTATTTGTACCGCATTGTTCGGCCTGGGATGTTTTGCTAAAAGAAATAAAACAATTGATTTTTTGCAGAAAATATTCATCCATCTACCTCTATGGATAAATCACATATTTGATATATATTCCTTCAATTTGCGCTTGAAATATCCATTTTCGTTCAATCCAAAATGATGTAGAAAATTGATTTAATTCTCCAGAATATATGAGATAACATTTTTTTAACTGAGGAAAATAACTAAGAAGTAATTGTTCCGATCGATAAGCATCAAAATAAGTCATATCGTCACATTGAATGATAACATTTAACTATTTTGAATTTTGAATAAATCTTTGAAAATTATGAAATCCTACACTATCACCATTTAATGAAAGATAGGTTAAATTTTCTAATTCGATCGACGAAATGAATGATTTATTTGAACTGCCATTGAAACCATGTGTAAATTTTAAATGACGAAGTTGTAGTGTATAAGAAACGATAGCAGAAAGTTATTGAGATGTACAACAATGATCAATAATAAGAAATTCAATTGGACTTTGCTGTTGTTCTTGATTAGTAGCAATTAGTATTGATATTGATAAATCTGATATATATGAAGGGTGCTTCTCTCTTCTGTTGTGTTCTTTCGTCTGTGAACATATTATAAAAATATGTAATACACGATTCGAAATAGGAGAAAAAGCTCTATCTTTTGGTAAAATAGGTTTTCTTTCAGCACCTTTCTAGCGATCAGAAATAAGGGTTGACATTTGTGCCATTACTTTTGCATCGTACATTATATTATAGCTAATCTGATCTTCATTTCATTTTGCTTTTTTCTACACTTACTCTACACCACTCAAACTCGTTGACATTATTACTAGTTAAACAAACATTAGAAAGACGGACAACTGCAGTGGAGTTCTTCCAATAGGAAATGAATCTAACCGAAACCATTCTCACGGAGGTTCACCTGGTCAGACACGTAAACATTCTAAAGATGGAGGACGACGTGGCAGTGGTGACAGTCGTTGAAAATGCGATGGACAGGGACATGGGCACGGACATGGAAATAAAAACGGTTGACATACATCGTTTTCGTTTTTCACAATGAACATTTTCATTGAGTTTCTGTTGAATGAATACAGTTTCAAGAAATTTTCCTCGCTATGGAATTTCTCCTGAATAGCTCAATAAAAAAAGGCCTTAAAAACTCATAGTAAGTTTATTTTGATGAGTAAACTAATGATTGTTATAGAGTCAATATTTCTCGATGATTGTGAGTATGGATGTGTGAAGGGAAGACTGCCATTCACACTCTTTTCTGCATATAACTCTTGCAAAACGTGTCATTTTTCTATGCAATTTTTACAGAGAAAAAAATTATACGACCGATACATTTCTAGTGATCCTAACGTGCAGAAACAGCAAGACATACGATGGACTTATATGAAAAGACGCTGACGAACGTATGGATACAGAAATAGATTATGCGAAATTTGCTGATATTTGGCCAATGGAGAATGTATGGGCCGCAACTAAGGATAGAATGGCAGGAGAACATGTTGATCATAGATTAGAATTGGAAAATCAAATAATACAACAATCAAAAAAGCAGATATATAAAGGGTGTGGGTGTGCGTCGAGACGAGATCCGCACTCACATCCACCCAGACACGAACTCACACCCAAGTCGGTAACTATATCCTGAACAAGTGAACAAAGCTTTACCGCGACTCGAAGTGATAAAAAAAATGCTGTTGAGTCAGTCATGTTTTATTAAGGCTAATGAATAAAATGAACGATGTGTGTATCAGCGAGCCAGTATGACGTACGGACGAATATATATTGAAAACAAGATAAAATAGATTAGCAGGTCAGAAAGAGTAGAAGAAGTAAGAGCTACCACGTATATAAACATTCACCACGATGATTCATAGTTAAACAAACAATCGAGCCTGGTCAAGAAAAAAATTCGCTTAAATGCCCGTCGCAATTTTACTTTTCGCTGTTATGCTCCTTCGCTGAAATGTGCTTTTGCTATTGTGCGTTTCGCAGATTTTTTTTCGCTGAAAAAGACGTTCGCTTATATGGTTTTCGCTGAATGAACACCATATCCGTAAATGGAGCCCGTTTACATTTTCTGTTTATCATCGTATACTTACGTTTACAAGCAAACATTTTTACCTTTGGTAAACTTTACTTTTGATAAGATTGTGCCTCGTGACAGTACGAGAGGTGTGAGCTTCTAGATTTTTTTCGGGGTGACTAATGAAAAGATATTACGAAGTATCTACAAAATTCAACTTTTTTCGTATAAATATAAATATATATATATAGCGATATGCATATTGCTGTTGGCCTGTTATTCAAAAAAGAATTCATTTCATATGCTGTCGGTTAATACTCATGTCTTATTACTTTTTCTTCTTTCCTTCTTTGTTAAGCCAACAGTCCCTGTCGACTTTGCAGCTGATCCCGATGAGCAGACAATATGCAAATGTACAACGGTCTCGGGAAATGGCAATTTCTGTATGATGTACACTTGTGACAAATATGAGGTAATAGAAAAACATAGTTGTTTTCCTGGCTCAAGCCAAGTTCATCTTGCAACTGGTATGAGAAAAGCGCTTGGCGATGTTCAAATCGGTGATCAGGTACTTGTTGGTGACAATACCTATGAGCCGATCCTCGCCTTTATCCATTCAAAACGGAACGGGTTTTATGAGTACCTCCGAATTTCAACAACGGATGATTCATGGTTGGAGAAAGACCTTCTCATCTCTCCCAACCACCTCATTTTCGTGGACGACAACACAATACGAGTCCGCTTTGCTGGACACCTTCGCGTTGGTGACCGCTTGAAGATGTTTGTCAACAACAACCAAACCGTACCAATAGCCGCCGAAATAACTCAAATTCACAAGACAATAGCGCAGGGCTTCTATGCTCCATTGACACCCTCAGGGACGATTGTCATCAACGGAATCGTTTGTTCCAATTATGCGAGCGTCAATAATCAAGACCTAGCTCATACAATGATGGGCATCTATCGCTGGTGGATCCGCATGGTAGGCTCTCCACTGACAGAAACTGGTGAACAGCATGATGTCCACTGGATCCTGCAAGTATTTGAAATGTTTACACATTCTCCTCTTTTCTCCATTGTCAAAAAATTTACCGGCACAACGTTCTACAATTAAACATTTCGAACGTTATTTATTTTCCTCTAAAAAATGTGTTTTATCTTCACTGCTACATTATATATACATATATAAGATGTGTTTTAGTCGGCAATAACCTCAAAAGACGACTATGTATAATGATATGCTATAGACAGTAGCACAGTTTTCTATAAATGGTGGTGCCACAGTGGCTATAAGCAGTAGCACCACTTCAGCTGCTTTTGTCACTATATTTGACACTCATCTTGCTGTGTTTGTTTCACTTCTTGATGTATATAGAGAAAAACACAATCAATACAAATCATTAAGATCATTCTTGATGTAACACCTAACAGAAAGCCACACAAAAAGAGCGATTCGGGGTGTGGGTGTCAAGTGTTCCTTAATTCACATCAATACCCACACCCTCAATCCAATCAAGCAATAAGAGTAAATAATGCACGTAATAAACCCGACCGAGAACGTCACAGTTATAGGTGAAGTATAAATCTACGATTTTATGACAATAGTCTTATAAATAGTACGAAGGTATGACAAAAAATGACTGAACATAAATGATAAATAAAACTATGCTATATTTAATAGGAAATTTTATTCGTGATGAGTGCGATAGATGTTCTGGTGAATCCCTCCTTGACCACGGCGAGTTCGTTCGTGAGAAGTTTTTATTAAGCCAAATACGAGTCAAACCAGCGTTTCAAAAGACTGTCAGAAGGATGGCCTTTTATTTTCGGTTGATCTGAAACAATAATAGCCTTGTCGCGAGTTTGAAATAGAAGACTTCTTATGTCACGTTTCGGCTTTTTTCCAAGTAATTTTTCAAGATTGACAGCAACAGTTCTCCATTTCTCTGCAAGTAATGCACCAAGTTCTGAATGCACAGTTGATAGTTGCTGTTTGCATGAATAGCCAACACCTTCAATTTTGACTTCATAACCTTTTGTAATCAAGTCATATTTTTCTAAAAATTGATTAACTTGTTGTTGCGTAGCTAACTTTTGACGTTCCATACACAGATTATTTGTACAAAACAGCACGACAAATGCTTTTTTGTCTCCATAATCTCCAGCAATAATACGTTTCACAAGCCTTACAGCTGCATCGCGAGCAGTAGACATAGTATTTGGTCGATCTTGTCCTTCTGCCAATGTGTCAACTATACTTATGTTCTTTACATTAGTATTGAAATACGTTCTCACTAGATCATGTGACATGAGGGTTTCTGTCAGTTTTGAGTTTTCACTCGTGTCATAGTTTGGATAGATTCTGTTGGGGAAACGATTTGGTGGACATTCATCTTTGTTTTTATACTGAATGAATGGTTTTGATGAATTTAGTTTTATGTTGTAATATTGAGCCAAATACATTATATAGGATTTACCTTCTTCAATACGAGCAAAATCGTCATCTATAGACGATGGAAAAGAGATGGTATCGGCATTCACGTTGTTTCGTGATGCTGCAAGTAATTGTTCATTTATTGTGGGACATATTCCATCAATATTGGCCCATATCTCTCGTTCACCAGCTAATATAAGAGTTTCGCCATTTATTTTGATATTTCTAGAAACCAGATAGTAGTTGAAATCAATAATCCGCTGTGCTAATGCAACACGAGATGCTCCAGCAATCCAACCACCATCATATTCATTTAGTGAAGGATACTCCCGATCAATGAGTCGCAACAGTCGAGCTGAT